GTCTAAATATCATTTTCACTTGTTACTGACACATCTACATTAAAACATGCACGTAAATGCACAGATGTGAGCATGCACACGCACACAATATCCATTTTTAATACCTGCTTTCATCTTGGTAACTGATGGAGAAATTTCAAATGATAAAGCATTCCATATTGATCTCGCCTGCCATGAGTCCTTCTGACGAGTTTCTACACACTGAATCATTCAGTCTTTCGTGTGAGTGTGTGCATGCATGTGTTACTGAGAGCATGTTATACATGAAATAGAAAATTTAATAAAAATACAGCCACTTTTTGCTATCTTCATGAAGTTGCCTTGTGAAATTTTTATTTCAGTACCAATATTACCAAATAAGACGACTTGGAAAGCCTTTTCCTCATAGCCAACTGACACAATTACTTGGAATGCAGAACCTTTTGTATGAGGTTTAAATTAATACCTGGATTCTCTACTTTTTATAGGAGCAGTGAATTACAACTAGATAATTAACATATTACTGATTTCTTCTTCCAAATACACCTACACTGTATTGAAATGGAAGCGCTCAGAAGGCATCAGAACCAGTAATATGCCTTTTATAGGCACCACTTCTTCTTGTATACACGTACATGACCTGTGTTGTGATATGCATATATTTGAAACTTGAGTCGCCCCAAGGCTGAATTCATCCAAAGTCTCCCACACGATTTGGTTCTGGGACTCTCGCTCAACATCCACTTGAGTTTCTCTTTTCACCCGGTGTCTGTCAGACCAGGTCAGGACCCTTCCTCTATGACACCGCCTATCTTTTCCTTCCCCATGGATACCTTTGCTTTATCAGGCAGCCAATCTGACCTTGATTTTAACGTGGGCGAATGCATCTTCACGCCCAGCCTCCTTCAAAGCTGCTTCTGGCACCCGACCCCTGTATGCCTCAGCCAGAATTGCCTTCGTTTTTACCTGCCACAGATAACCCTACACGTACAATATGGTTTCCTAAAGCACCAGAACCTGAATTTTTCCCATTTCTTTTGACCAGCGCATGCGCTCACTGTAAGCCCGCGTACACAAAGGCCAAAGAGGACACTTATATTATGGGTCTCCACGAAGATTCAACCCCGTGTTCCTCCTCCCCGCCTCCTCTCCGCGTACACTCGCACGTGCCCAGTGAAATAAGCTTTACAAGGGTTAAGGTTATGGCCCTTTATGACGAGTGACCACCACTCCAATCACTTACTCCTTCCTTCCTCCGCCTCCGCACAGCCAGAGCACTTCCATTCAATTTCATCCCCCATCTTTTGCTCAAGCACTCGCGTGCACACCCAGGGAGCCTGTTTAAAACACCCTGAGAATAGAGCAACAAACAGATCATGAATGTGGTTTTAAAAACAGGTAGAGGTAGTTTCATTTTTGGACATTCAACTCCCTTTCAATTTAAAAAACTGTATTATTTGGCAAAGAATTCAGAGAAAATACATTTCAGAAATGTGTTCCATGTATTCTTTATATTTCTTTTTAAAAGATTCTCTGCTTTAATGTAATCAGCTATATGTTGCACATGTCCATGTGGTAACTGGAAAATTGAATGTTTTATACCTATGGATGATACATAATTTCATGTTATTTTTATTTTCTATATTCTATTTTTCTTTGCTTTCCAAATATTTTAATTTAATGATGTGCTTACTGGCCCATGAACAAAAGTCCTTTGATGAGCCTTGAGCTTGTTCACAGCTTTAAGACTAATGAATGTACTTGTGGTGAGGAAGTTAACACCATAGTCACTATATTTTCCTCTTTTTCCTCTTCATTTACTAGTCTTGTCAGTAATTTAAGTACTGCTATTAAAGCTACCACTTAGCTCTTCCTAATGCTTGCAGAAATCTTAGAGATCTGTTATTAAAATGCAAAATGTGCTTTCACATTTTCTAAATTAGAAATGAATTAGGAGGACAATTATTAATAATTTAACAACAATTTACTGTTGTATTCCAGTTTTGAGTATTTTATGGATTCTACCAAGGTCCAAAGTTTTAACAAGGGCCAACACCTACCTCAATAACCCCTCCAGGTCCATATGAATGGTCTATTTTTAAAGAACAATTAGAAAAAGAATAAGGTAAAATTCTATTTTTAGTCACACTTGGGCCCAAAACCCTAGTACCGGGCTCTTTGGTATATACACTGATGATGATGACCTACTCCCAAAGCTAAAGTGCCTTTATACTAGTCTAAACCCAAATCAAATGAACCTCCATCCCACCACGAGCTATGGGAGAGATGACAGCCACAGGCTGCATCCCTGAGAGGGGTAAAAGGAAATATAAAGCAGTCGCTGACAATCAGGAAGCTGACCTGGTACTAACAGCTAAGCCATGCTATTCTTCTATTGGATATAAATCATCTCATGGAATACCAACCTCAGACAAGGTTACTCTGGAATCACAATAAAATGAGATACAGCAAGACCACTTAAATTTGTCTAAGCATAGACAAAAAAAGATCATTGTACCACCCACAAAACACAAAACACCCCTGCCATTCTAGTTAAAACGAGTGACTATAACCTTTTTAACAATTATTTCCTTATCTTTGTTCCAGTCTCTTCTCTTTATAGATAAAATTTACTGAGATACCACTCACAGTATAAACCCCCACTTCCTTAGACCCTCCACCAGATCACACAAAGCTCAAATACTGCAATGTTTTCTCACAGCCACTTACTGATAACATACAACAGTTCCCCATCATGTGTGTTCTTCCTCACAGCAATGACTTAAAAACTCAATTTATTCAACTGTGGGTATGTCCCCGGGGGTCTCTGGCTATAGGCCATTGACATGAAAGATACAGAAAAAGGGCCTGGTCTGCCCTTACATAAAGTCCAGAAGCAGCTTTACTGTTCCATCTCATGGATACAAGAGAAAGGGACAGGAGGGACTTCAAGATGCCTGATTCTTCTCCATAAAATAAATAGCAGGAGAAATACACCCATGTTTCTAACTTTTTAATGCACAGTAACTCAAATTAAAAGGAGCCCAATCTTTGTATGGGAGGGGTTTGGGGTGGGTCAGGAATTTAATAAAGGTCAAGGTTAACAGTGGTGAAAAGTGTGAAAAGGTCTACATTTACCAAGCATTCATTGGAAGTGTTTCCTGATTTAGATTCCCCTATAATAAAAAGTTGTCCTTGTTTCCCTATAAACTGTCAACTATTGCAAACCCAGAGAAAAGTAAGTGAGCATATACCACTCTATTTTTAAGAAAGATATATTAGAGGAGGGTCCTGTCCAGACAGGAAGTGGTAAAAAAGCCCATACCTTCCTCCCCAGTTGACTGTACAGAGATGAGACAGATGTAAGAAAAGCAAGGAGTGTTAGAAACTTACCTCTTTGAGTCAAAATCCAAAGGAGGAGCCATGTTCAACAGTGGAAGAATAAGTCACAAGCAGAGGAACTTTTGTTTCATTTTCATTTTATAATTCTGTGGAATCACATCACAATGATTGGGGATGGAAGAGTGGATAGGCAGCAATAACGAGATAGTTAGCACTTCCTAGCCACTCTCAGGTCACATGGCATGGAAGGGATTAAGTAGTTTCCTGTTGTCACAGGAATTGATGTGACCTTCATAGACTTTGCCAAGGAGGAAGCCAAACCTGTGGGTTTCCACATATGAGGAAGGCAAAGTCAGCTCACTGACCAACCACATCTCATTTTCCCCAGTAAGTGCATCCCTGCTCCCAATGTCATAAAGCAGTATAAGGCCATATACATCCAGATAACATTGTGGAAGGGTAGGTAAATCTGACATATAGACTAATACACAGGGGCCTGTTATTTACAAAGTATTTAAATTATCAAATCTGAAATATAGACCAACACATAGGAGGCTGTTATTTATACAGTGTTTAAAATAGCAATAAGTTTCCGGATTGATTGAAATTGAGATTTTTGTTTCCCTATAACCCTGGGGGGGTGGAGGTGGATTTGGGACCAAGATTAGATCATTTATAAGCAATAAAAAAATACTTTCTTTGCACATCTAAGTATAATGTAAATTTGCATGTATATACAAACACATAGAAAAAGAATAGTAGAAAATAAATCAAAACATTAGCAGTGCTTTTCTTTGGGGAGTGCGTACATGGTTTTCTGTTTTAATTAATGTATTTCTTACTACTTTCCAAATGTCCTCCAATGAATATATTATTTTATAATCACACAAAAAGATGAGTTTTAAAACATGAAACACTGAAATTTTTATTCATTTTATTTTGCAGTAAAAGAACATGAAAAGTCTTTTCAAAATGGTAAAGTGTTCACCTTCAATGAATGACCAAATGAACTTTAGGAAAAGAGAAATTATATGCTGTAATTACAGTTTACACAGTTACACAGAACAATATGTGGCAATCTTTTGAAGATACTGTGATTCACATTTGACTGATAAGAAATAACCTCTATATGACTAAGTTCCACTATTTGTCATAGTCATATAATATACAAGAGCCTGTGAACAAGCTCTTATTAATAATAAATGGTGTTTCGCCTAAAATTCTTAGCCATTGCAGTCCTCTTTCAAGCATTCAAGTTTTAAATTCTACTGTATTTTTATTGCAAAATGAAGCAGGCACTAGGAAAATACAAAGACAAAAAGCAAACAAAAGCAAAAAACCTTGGGTTGGTTCTCCAAGATTTTCCTTCCAAATAATTACTGGTCTCATTTAGCAGTTCTGATAATATTCACAGCCAAAGATCAATAGCTATATGACAAAAGGATTTTAGGATTAAACTACACAACACTATATTAATATATCTTAAATCATTTACCACAGTGTACATTTCTTGTAATGCAAGATTTAATGAATTAGTATTTGAATTTCTCTTATGTTTCTGAGGCATGTTTTAACAGACACTACAATAAAAATATCAGAACACAAGATTATAATTAACTTCTTATATCTTGAGTAACTAGATCTAGGGCAGTTAATTTCAGGGCCAATAACATTTTGCATTAGCGATCAATGTCTTCTACATTGCCTCAAGATTTTTGCAACAGGCTTTAACTTCCTTAATTGCAGCCATCCAATTATCATAAATAATTTTGTCATAAATTGCATCATTAACTTCCCTAACTACCCCCTCCTGCTGAGATACAAGTGCATCACCTGAGAAAAATAATACTGATCTTGGGATTATGTAGGTATGTAAATTGTGACCCAGTAAAAAATCATCATTTCCATCTTTTTCATTTGAGCTGATACCATGAGAAGTAAAGAAATTGAAGAACGAATCCTTGGGAAAATCTTCAGTCACAGTTCAGATTGTTCCCCAGACTCGGTGTTTCTGCTTCTTCTGGATGGTTCTCAAAGTGACATTCTTTCTGTCATTCCAGTCTATCTCACAGCCTGTACAATACTTAATTGCAGCTCCCCTATAGGGATGGGGATCATAAAATGCTGGCCTTGATTTCAGCACATAAGTCTTTGTCAACAGCTCATTTTTGAAATAATCATTGGGTTTGAAATAAAATTCTAGAGTAAAACTGAGGGGCTCACCAGGATCTGAAAGCCTCACCTTAATATCGTTCAGGAGCTTTAGAATAGGCTCATCATACTGCTGAATCAAAGGAGTGAGTGTGTCAATGTTTTTTAAGACAGCCAAAAATCAGGAATTCCTTTAGGATCCTCTTTATTCTCTTCTCCGGTAGCTTCAGTGTCATCATCATTGTCGTCGTCATCATCATCATCAATAGCATAATCATAATAATCTTCCTCATAACCATCATCCTCATCCATGTATTCATGTACAAGACCCTCCTAATTACCATACATCTCTTCATCACACATCTCATCATAGTCCTCAGAGTTTGCTTTATATTCACATTCCTCTTGTGTAAGTTCATAGATTGCATTGATGATCTGATGTCTTATTTCCAGTAAGGGTTGATAAATTTCAGCAAACTTTCTATCAATGCCATGAAATTCCCTTAGAAATTTGGATTCTAGATTGGCCACTCTAGTTTGAAGTTTTTTGAGGGCTAAGACACGGTACTTAACTTTCACAGGTAAACTTTCAACAAAGTCTGTATCTAAAAGATAGCCAATAAGTCCTTTTGGACCGTCTGGGTCTGAGTCCTCATCACTATCTTCACCTTTTCCCCTGCCTTCCCCTGACCCAGCATCAGCATCTTCACCTTTTTCCCCTTCTTCCTCTGGCCCAGCGGCGGCTTCTTCACCGCACTCCCTATCATCTCCAGGCCCAGCTGCGGCATCTTCACTGCGCTTCGGCTGTTCCCAGGGCCCCTCCATCATTACCTTATTACCAGTCTCTTCTTGACTAGGTTCTAATAGTTCTTTGTCGTAGGCTGATTTGGCCATTTTTCAAAGGACTGTATACGCCTAAGGTGGCTACCAACAAGATCAGGAAACCTGACCACCACAGGAAAAGACTCACTGGAATATCAGAAGCTGCAAGGGCTGGAGTAGAGGTAGACCGACCGGTAGTGACAGGTCTGCTGTAGCAACAGTTGATTCAGCTGTTGGGATGAAGGCGGTGCTGAGGCTCTAAGAACCGGACAGAAATAGTGGTAGCCTGGGCTTGGGTACTGAGGGCGGGATAGCCGCCGTGACCCGTCCTACAGAAGTGGGCCAGGGACTGCAGAGAGCTGCAGTGGGCAGACCTCCTCCACAAACAGCAGCTGCTGGAATAAAATCCGGTGCTGCAATACGATTACGCAGCATTCTGGGCTTGATTGTCTTGATGCTAATAGTTTGTTGCGTCACTCTCTCCCACCCCTCATAACTCTACTCTAATCTTATTTGCTGGGCTGTAGTGACTGACAAATGCTGAACCAATAAATTATTCTACCAAGTTTCCAACCTTACTCACCTCAGGTTTTTCTAATGTGGCTGATTCTTCCATCTCCCATTCATCCTCCTCGATCCCCGAGTTTTCTAGAAACCTACATTTTATTAGTATATTATTTCAATTTTCAAATTTTATTATAATCTTAATTTCAAAAGAAATTGGTAACTAAAATGTCGGACAAGGGGAGAGGACATGGCACTCACCCATCCGAAATGTTCCCCTTTCAATTTACCCCTGGGCTCTGGGATGGGTAGAAGTGGGTGGTGGAGGAAATTACAAGGAAAGGCTGAAAGAAAAACATTTTTAAAAATTATCAATTAGAGGGTATTATGCTCAGTGAAATAAGCCAGGCGAAGAAAGACAAGTACCAAATGATTTCACTCATATGTGGAGTATAAGAAAAAAGGAAAACTGAAGGAACAAAACAGCAGCAGAATCACAGAACCCAAGAACGGACTAACAGTTACCAAAGGGAAATGGACTGGGGAGGATGGGTGGGAAGGGAGAGACAAGGGTGGGGAAAAAGAAAGGGGGCATTATGATTAGCATGTATAGTGTGTGTGGGGGCATGGGGAGGGCTTTGCAACACAGAGAAGACAAATAGTAATTTTGTGGCATCTTGCTGCGCTGATGGACGGTGACTGTGAAGGGGTATGGTGGGGGGACTTGGTGAAGTTGGGGGCCTAGTAAACATAATGTTCTTCATGTAATTGTAGATAANTAAAAAAATAAATAAAAATAAATTAGCAATGCTGATCTCAGTATGGTGTAAAACTAGTGATTAGACATGCTATATTCTGTTTCTCTGTATTTTTCACAAGCAATATGCTTGAGGATTAATTTTATGTTGCAAAATCCTTGTAACATTTCCTGAGATGGATGGCGGGTTAGGAGAGTGGGGGGAGGGTTAGATGGGGACTTTAAAAGTCATTGGGAATTTAAAAAAGAAATCCTCAAGAGTAATTTAATATTTATTTATTTTTAATAATAACATTTACATAACACTTCTGAGTTATTGAAAGTAATCTAAATCTCAGCATTAAAGACATGGTTATGTGATAGTATATTCACAAGATAGAGTACTATACAACCATTAAAATTTTTCCTCTAGATAGGAATCATTGGTGCTATTTATTTTGTCCATATTTCCAATGCTGACCATTTATTAATTGAACAATTTTTAGAATTTTGACTGTTAGTTTTCAGATTGAAACAATAATTTGTGTTATTTCCACAAAGATAAACACTGTTTACATATATTTCTTTACAATTGCTTTCAATGTGTAGGTAACTTTTCCTTTTTACTACTTTTGTCTCTCTGTACCTCTACAGCATTATACAATTCAAATTTCAGGCTCAAGTATCAATCCAGTAGTCCTAGTTACATTTCCTATGCATTCCAAGTTTTCTTTTTCTGGTTCTGTAGGTGTAACATTCCTTGTAGTTGTGATCATAAATACAACATATGTGTACTTTCAAAATTTGAAAATGAGAAAAATTCTAGAGTATAACAGAAATCACTACTAATCTTTCAACCCCAAGAGAACCAATGGGAACATTTCATTTCTTTTCTAAGTTTTTTTTTGTATCACTAATCTACAATTACATGAGGAATGTTATGTTTACTAGACTCCCCCCTTCACCAAGTCTCCCCCAACATACCCCATTACAGTCTCTGTCCATCAGCGTACTAAGATGCTATAGAGTCACTACCTGACTTCTCTGTGTTGTACAGCCCTCCGCGTGTCCCCCCTCATTATACATGCTAATTATAATGCCCCCTTTCTTTTGTCCACCCCCTTATCCCTCCCTTCCCACCCATCCTCCCCAGTCCCTTTCTCCTTGGTAACTTAGTCAATTCTTGGGTTCTATCTGTCTGCTGCTGTTTTCCTCCTTCAGTTCTTTCTTTGTTCTTATATTCCACAGATGAGTGAAATCATTTGATACTTGTATTTTTCCACTGGGCTTATTTCACTGAGCATAATACCCTCTAGCTACATTCATGCTGTTGCAAATGGTAGGATTTGTTTTCTTCTTATGGCTAAATAATGTTACATTGTGTATATGTACCACATCTTCTTTATCCATTCATCTACTGATGAACATGTAGGTTGCTTCCATTTCTTGGCTATTGTAAATAGTGCTATGATAAACACAAGGGTGCATATGTCTTTTTCAACCTGGGCTGCTGCAGTGTTAGGGTAAATTCCCAGGAGTGGAATTCCTGGTTCAAATGGTATTTCTATTTTGAGCATTCTGAGGAACCTCCATACTGCTTTCCACAATGGCTGAACTAATTCACATTCCCACCAGAAGTGTAGGATGGTTCCTCTTTCTCCATAACCTCACCAACATTTGTTGTTGTTTGTCTTTTGGATGGTGGCCATCCTTACTGGTGTGAGGTGATATCTCATTGTGGTTTTAATGTGCATTTCTCTGATGACTAGCAATGTTGAGCATCTTTTCATGTGTCTGTTGGCCACCTGAATTTCGTCTATGGAGGACTGTCTGTTCAGCTTCTCTGACTATTTTTTCATTGGATGATTTCCATTTTCTTTGTGGAGGTGCATGAGCTCTTTAGATATTTTAGATGTCAACCCTTTATTGGATCTGTCATTTATGAATATATTGTCCCATACTGTAGGATGCCTTTCTGTTCAAATGTTGGTGTCCTTTGCTGTACAGAAGTTTTTCAGCTTGATATAGTCCCACTTGTTCATTTTTGCTATTGCTTCCCTTACCCATGGAGACATGTTCATGAAGAGGTTGTTCATGTTTATGTCCAGTAGATTTTTGCCGATGTTTTCTTCTAAAAGTTTTATGGTTTCATGACTTACATTCAGGTCTTTGATTCATTTTGAATTTACTTTTTGTATGGGGTTAGACAATGATCCAGTTTCATTCTCTTACATGTAGCTGTCCAGTTTTGCCAACACCAGCAGTTGAAGAGGCTGTCATTTCCCCACTGTATGTCCATTGGTCCTTTATCATATATTAATTGACCATATATGTTCGGGTTAATATCTGGACTCTCTATACTGTTCCACTGGTCTGTGTGTCTTTTCTTGTGCCAGTACCAAATTATCTTGATTTTACTGTGGTTTTGTAGCATAGTTTGAAGTTGGGAAGCGAGATCCCCCTGCTTTATTCTTCCCTCTCAGGATTGCTTTGGCTATTGGGGTATTTTGTGGTTCCAAATGAATTTTAAAACTATTTGTTTCAGTTCGTTGAAGAATGCTGTTGGTATTTTGATAGGAATTGCATTGAATCTGTAGATTGCTTTAGGCAGGATGGCCATTTTGACAATATTAATTCTTCCTAGCCAAGAGCATTGGATGAGTTGCCATTTCTTAGTGTCCTCTTTAATTTCTCTTAAGAGTGTCTTGTAGTTTTCAGTGTATAGGTCTGTCACTTGGTTCAGTTTATTCCTAGATATTTTATTCCTTTTGAAACAATTGTGAATGGAATTGTTTTCCTGATTTCTCTTTCTGGTAGTTCATCACTAGTGTATAGGGAAGGAACAGATTTCTGTGTACTAATTTTGTATCCTGCAACTTTGCTGAATTCAGATATTTGTTCTAGTAGTTTCGGAGTGGTATCTTTAGGGTTTTTTTTATGTACAATATCATGTCATCTGCAAATAGTGGCAGTTTGACTTCTTCTTTACCAATCTAGATGCCTTGTATTTCTTTATTTTGTCTGATTGCCATGGCTAGGATCTCCAGTACTATGTTGAATAACAGTGGGGAAAGTGGGCATTCCTGTCTTGTTTCTGATCTGAGGAAAGGCTTTCAGCTTCTTGCTGCTAAGTATGATGTTGGCTGCTGGTTTGTCATATATGGTCTTTACTATGTTGAGGCACTTGCCCTCTATACACATTTTGTTGAGAGCTTTTATCATGAATGGATGTTGAATTTTGTCAAATGCTTTCTCAGTGTCTACAGAGATAATAATACGGTTTTGTTCTTTTTGTTGATGTGGTGGATGATGTTGATGGATTTTTGAATGTTGTACCATCCTTGCATCCCTGGGATGAATCCCACTTGATCATGGTGTATGATATTCTTGATGTAATTTTGAATTTGGTTTGCTAATATATTTTTGAGTATTTTTGCATCTATATTCATCAGGGATATTGGTTTGTCATTTTCTTTTTTGGTGAGGCCTTTGTCTGGTTTTGGTATTAGGGTGATGCTGGCTTCATAGAATGTTTGGAAGTATTCCCACCTCTTCTATTTTCTGCAAAACTTGAAGGAGAATGGGTATTATGTCTTCTCTATATGTCTGATAAAATTCAGTGGTAAATCCATCTGGCCCGGGGTTTTTGTTCATGGGTAGTGTTTGATTACCGATTCAATTTCGTTGCTTCTAATTGGTCTGTTTAGATCTTATGTTTTTCCTTGGTCAGTCTTGGAAGGTTGCAGTTCTCTAAGAAGTTGTCCATTTCTTCTAGGTTTTTTCTGATTCTTAGCATATAGATTATCATAGTATCCTCTAATAACTCTGTATT